GCGGGACCGCCGGGGGGGCGCGGCGTGTACATCCGCGAGTTCCGCGCGGCCGAGCAGGAGGCGGCGCGCCGCATCTTCTACGACGGCATCATGGAGCGCATCCCCAACACGGCCTTCCGCGGCCTGCGGCAGCACCCGCGCACGCAGCTGCTCTACGCCCTGCTGGCCGGTCAGTGCGCGGGGGACCCCGCTGCGCTCCGCCTGCCGCAGTCCGCGCCCGCCCGGCCCCTCCGGGGACAGACGCGCAGGACGCCCGCAGCCCCGCTCGCCCCTACCTCGGGCCCCGGGCCCCGGCCGCGCTCCTGTCCCTGCCCGGGACTCAGCCTGGGAGGGAAGCGGACCCCTCGCGCCCCCTCGGGCCCCCTCGCTCGCGCACGGACGCGCACCCGCACGCCGCCGGCTTTCTGCGGCGGCCTGGGGCGAGGTGGCCACCGGCGGTGGCGTCCGGGCTCCTGGCCAAGGCGCGCCTGGCGGGGGCGTGGGAACGATCGCCGGCGGCGGGTAGGGGGCTGCGGGCAGGGGAGAGGGCCGGGGTCTCCACCTGCGTCCCCCTTCTGTGCGGCCCCGCCTCTCCGGTCCCTTCCCTGGTCGTCCCGGGTGGGGGCGGGGTGACGGCAGGTAGCGCCCGCTGCTGAGGCTCCGCGCCGGGCGCGTGTAGCTATATATAATCCGCGGGGCGGGGGAGGCTGCCTCGGCGGCTCCAAGTGCTAATTTATGAGGGGAAGACAGCCAGCTCCCCGGAGTGCGGGGGGGGGGGGGAGGAGGGCGAGCACCGAGGAGGCAGAGTGAGGGGACGAAGGGGGGGCAGCCCCCCTAGGGGCTTTGAGGCCTTTCCCCTGAAGCCTCGGAGGGTGGTTGTCCCCATTTCACAGATGAGGAGCTTGAGACTGGGGGTTGTTACTCTCCCAAGGTCATGCAGCAAAAGTGACTTTCACTGCAGGCTTGTCTGCCTCCTGGCAGCTTGGACGAATCTGGAAGCAATCTCGGGCTTCCCTCACCCCCCTCCTCATAAACCCTGGGGCTGGCCCAGGGAAGAAGGTGGTCCTGGGGCCCTCTGCTGGAAGATGCCCTCTCCCACTCCCCACTTTCGCAAGGGTGAGGCAGGGGCCTGGTCGAGCAGCTCCGTAGCTTCCTACCTCGCTAGAGTGGCAAAGGTGTACTCGAAGCCCCTTCCACAGCTGGGGGGCCACATGGGTGGTTGGCATGCCCCCCCCAAGGAACCCTGCCTGGGGCTGTTGCCGCCAGCCATTGAGGGCAGCCTGCCCAGGGGCCCCTGCTGTGCTCAGAACAGATAGAAATCCTGTGATGTCAGGCTGCCAAGCGGCATGCCCTGATGGTAGGAAGTTTGGTAACGGGGAAAGTGCAAGGAGCAGGTAGGCTGACCCACCGCTCCTCCACGGAAAACAGTCGTGGCACATTTGGCGTGGTCTCTCCTCTGCGCATGTGCCCGACCGGCTTATTTAGCAGGGAGCTGGTGGGGGGTCTCCCAGCCTGCTGGGGCCCTTGTCCGCCTGGCGGGTGTCCCAGGGGCTCTGCTCGGCCGCTGCTCACCAGGCCCACCTCTCCCTGCAGTGCTGTGTTTTGCCCTGACCCGCTCGCTGCTGCTGACGTGCCTGGTGCCGGCCGGCCTGCTGGGCCTACGCTATTACTACAGCCGCAAGGTGGTCCTCGCCTACCTGGACTGCGCTCTGCACACGGACATGGCGGACATCGAGCAGTACTACATGAAGCCCCCCGGTGAGTCTGCGGCGCCAGCCGCTTCCTCTCCCCTCCCTTTGCTCCTCGCACCCCCTCACAGCCCCTACTGCTGGCAGGGCCACCCACGCCCCAAGCACCTCAGGACAGACAGGCCCCAGGGGGACGGCCACGCCTAGGTGGGCCCGGGCTGCTTCACGCCCGTGACCACGCCTGCGGAGTCTCGGAGGGCTCTGGCCAAGGGTTGGGAGTGCCGCAGGCCGGCAGGGGCTGAGGGCGGCAGAGCTAGGTCCGTGGTGCTGATGCAAGGCCCCCGAGTGCCCACACAGACCCTGGGCCTCTGTCCTGCATCCCGTGAGGGCAGGGTGCTGAGTGTCCTGAGCTAGCCCTGGGCCCGGGTGTCCTGGCTCTGCTCTCCATGCAGCTTGCACGATGCCCTTTACCTGGTGTTTACTGAGGGGCTGGGGGTCTGCTGTGCTTTGCTGGGTCTCAGGCTGGCCTGGAGTGCCAGGGACCTGGTGTGGCAGGGGCAGAGGGCCTCCTGGTGGGGAGAGGGTTCTGGGTGGGAGTCACCGAGGCCTGGGAGCCCTGGAAGAGCAGGGTGTTGAGTCTTGGCCTCCATTTCTGGTCTCTGGGCCATTTAGTGAGGCAGAGGGTCTCGCCCCAGCCTCCTGGCCTTCTGTACAAGGAGGGACCGGGTCTGGTCTGGAGGGGCCTGCAGCTCCCTGGGGGCTGTTCTGGTCCTCCAGGCTGACCTAGAGGCAGGCTAGGTCCTAGGAGGCAGGACCACATGGTTTCCCTCATGTCCGGGGTCAGAGAAGGGGGCCTTTGTTTCTGCCCTCTGGGGTGTGAGGGTCTCCCAGGTGCTGGAGGGTTCCCAGGCTAAGGAGACGGGACAGTGTGGGCCCCAACAGTTGGTGAGGGCAGAGGGGAGCCTGGTGAGGGCCAGGGAAGGGCAGCAGGGGACAAGAGAGGCAAGGCATCCCAGCACAAGGGTGCTCCACCGAGCCGGCCCATCCTGTGCTGCCCTGCCTCCACCCCCATCCCCACCCCTGCAGCTGGCCAGCCTTTGGCACCTTGGGTTCTCCTTGACCCTTTCCTAAGCTTGAACTCAGCTTTTCATCGGCCTCCATGGAGTTGCCCAGGACGGGAGGGAGCACAAGTATGAGACCCACTTAGCTGGCGCCCACGTCCAGGCTGCAGGAGCAGAAGGGGGCTCAGGTTGGGAGCCCGGGGTGGCAAGGACTCTGCTCTTTCTGGGCTGCAGTCTCCCTGGGTGTGAATGGAGCGGGGGGAGTCCTGTTTGCTGTCCTGAGGCATTTGGTAGGTTGCAGGAAGGTGCCACTGGGGCAGGGAGGCTGGACCACGGTTGATGGGGCCATGCTGCTCAGGGGATGGGAAGAGTTGGTCTGGCCTGGGTGTGTGGGGGCAGCCAGAAACCCTGGATGGTGGGCAGGCCAGCTAGTGGGGCGGTCCATCAGGGCAGCAGGCCTTCAGCCATTGCCGAACTCGGCTGCATGCCAGGTCTCAGGGTATGGCAGTGAAGGAGACAGGAGCCCCTCTTGCTGAGCTGCTGGGGGACCTGCCAGCAGACAAGACAGTGGCGGACCCTTGGAGGTTGGGTGGAGGAGTGAGATCTCTGGGTAAGGTCAGGTGCAGAACCTTTATGGGGGAGAGTTTGGCCACTCAAGGAGAGAAGGTGGTGGTGGGGGGGCTGGTGGGAGACACAGCCATGGGGGCTGGAGTGGCCATGCGCAGGGCGAGTGCAGGTGGGGCTCCTCAGAGTGTGGGCACCCCTGTTGGCCAGCCCCTGCCTCCTGGGGCCTCTGGGCCGGCGGTCAGCAGAGGTGACCAGGCTCTCATGCCCTGCAGGCCTCCCCTCCCATGTTCATTCTCTCTCTTCTTGCTTCTCTCCTGATCCCCCCCTTTGGCCCTCCTCTTCCTTTTGCTGCCCTGCATGGGGCTGTGATTGGTCCAGGCCATGGGTGGGGACGGCTGGCCTGGCCACTGGGCTCCTGCCCAGGAGAGGCCAGGGTCAGTGGGAGGCGTGCATTGGTGCCCATCCGTCCTGATTGTCCACTTGGACTGTCCCCCAAGCCTGCCAGGGGCCTGCTTCTGTGTCCCGATCCAAGCAGGCCATGGGGCCCCCAGGCTTAGCAGCTCCTGACCCAGGAGAGTGGAGGCCACAGGACCTCCTGAGGCCCCCGGGGGCATGGCTCCCAGAGGGGTCCTTCTGTCCTGGCCTGTCCTCCCAGACCCCCAAAGTCCCCATTGTAGGGGTCCTTCCAGAGGTCCCCTCATGGCACCTGTCGCTCTCCAGCTCCCTGGGGTGGCTACACGGGGACAAGTGGCTGGGAGCCCAGGCAGGTCGGCTGCACCTGCGGCCTCTCCGTGGCCATCCACAGCCGTCCAGGCGTTAGTTCGGCGGGTAGCTGGGCAGAGGAGGGATCTGTCTGGCTGAGGCCTGCCCGGCTCTTGGTCCCTGGGGGAGGGAGTGTGGCCCCAGAGCCCTTGTCGGCCCAGCCTCAGGCCCAGGGCGGGGGCGGCCGTGGGCGGCAGGCAGGTTGGGCCGGGCTCTTTCTGCTCTAAGGGCCCTGGAGGGGCGGCTGTGTCGGCCGCGGCTTGACTGCCCTGTCCCTGCAGGCTCCTGCTTCTGGGTGGCCGTGCTGGATGGCAACGTGGTGGGCATCGTGGCGGCGCGGGCCCACGAGGCAGACAACACGGTGGAGCTGCTGCGCATGTCCGTGGACTCGCGTTTCCGTGGCAAGGGCATCGCCAAGGCGCTGGGCCGCAAGGTGCTGGAGTTCGCCCTGGTGCACAACTACTCTGCGGTGGTGCTGGGCACGACAGCCGTCAAGGTGGCCGCCCACAAGCTCTACGAGTCGCTGGGCTTCAGACACATGGGCTCCAGCGACCACTACGTGCTGCCCGGCATGACCCTGTCGCTGGCCGAGCGCCTCTTCTTCCAGGTCCGCTACCACCGCTACCGCCTGCAGCTACGCGAGGAGTGACCGCCGCCCGCCCA